ATATTGTTTTTTGTTGGGTCCCTGGTCATGTCGACGTACAGGGCAATGAACAGGCAGACACTGCTGCGCGGTCAGCAGTTCATGACCTACCAATTTCCTATCGAGGTGTTCCATTTCTGGACTATTTTGCTGCAATAGCTACCCACCTTCGCACCCGTTGGCAATAACGTTGGTCAACTCTGCTCGGTAACAAACTTCATTCTATTAAACCGAGCATAGGTTACTGGCAGTCTTCTTGTCATCAGTGCCGAGGTTGGGAGACCACTCTCTCCCGCCTTCGCATTGGCCACACTCGTCTTACTCATGGGTATCTCATGGAGAGGCACCCTGTTCCTCTCTGTGAGCAGTGCCAAGTTCCAGTATCGATTAGCCACATTCTGTTAGACTGCCCTCTCTATCAACGAGCACGCAGAATTTACCTCCGTCGTCTTCGTTCTACTACTCTCTCTTTACCTTCCCTTCTTGCTGATGGACCCTCCTTTAATCCTGACTCTCTCATTGACTTCTTGACAACGACTGATTTACTCCACAAACTCTGATGATACTTTTTGCACTCCCTCAGCCCTTTCTAGTTCAGTCTCTTGCTGCCCTTTCCCCTTTCACCATCCACTACCCCGCTGTTATCCGTAACCTATTACTCATCCATCTCCCTTTTGCCACCTGATGCCCTCGCTTCCTTCCTGCCCTGCAGCGCTGTATGGTCCTTGTGGCTTAGCGCTTCTTTTTTATTATAATAATAATGTAGTATGTACTAATATATTCACAAAGTATTAAACCTGTAATGGTCATTTTACTTATAACTTAATCCTTTTAAATTGCAGTTTTAAGCCTGAGATTTACCCAAAATGCTGTGCCAAATACTGTATGGGTTTTGTAAAACTACTAGGCATACATATACTACCTACCCTTCTCTTCCTTGGATCAAACCTAATTACCTCCTATTTCCCAAGTGCTGCAAGGCCTCTATGGATATAGTGCTTCCCTCTGACTACAGTATCTAGTAATAATAATGTACTTGGTAACTTTCATGATATATATATACAGCCTCTCCTTGCTTAATGACGGGGTTCCATTCCTAAGAGTAGGTCAGTAAGTGAAATGGTCGTTAAGCGACTAGCATACCATACTGGTAGTGGGTTTGTGTCAACCATCTTTAGATATTTTTTTAATGTTACCCTTGCACCATTTATAACATTCCTGGTTTATTTTTAAATGTTTATACAGTAGTGTAATAGAGGAAATCAGCTCTAATATACGTACATAATTTAGGTTTGCATACTGGTTGGAGGGCTGGTCGCAAGTCCAAGTGGTCAGTAAATGAGTACGTCGCTAAGTGAGGAAAGGCTGTATATGTATATATACATCTATCTATATATATATATATATATATATATATATTTATTATTGCTGTACATTTGCTTTAAACTGTGTATGAGAATAAAAATATATACCAATTATTTAGTTTCTTTAATGCTCTTAATATTAAACTTTATTATTTGCTTTTATTAATACTGAGAAGGGAAAAAAAAAACTGGAAAAAAGAAATTTTTTTATTTTTTTTTAAAGACCAAGGTACCTATCTGAGCAGTGACCACCTGACAATGGCTCTCAGCATGTTGCTTTCTATCCACTGCCATGAATATGGGCACACATCCGTTGTCATGCACAGCTGACGGGTGAACTGAATAATAAATCTTTCATTAACAGCTTGTTAGAAGGTAGTAGGTTGTGTAAACAAGGAATCATGCGAGTCTGACTCTGGGTCAACAAGGCAGCATGCTGGCTGACTCGGGTTCAATCACATAAAATTCTTTCTTTACACAGATTAGCACAATCTTGAAAATATAAAATCTTAATTCACAAGTTAACTAAATAAAATGTTAAAATATCTATTGTATATACAGGAGGGCCCTGCTTATACAGCAGGTTAGGTTCCAGGCTACTGCTGTAAAGTGAATCATGGCCTTTTTTCACTTTCAAATGCATATAAAAGCCTGATAACATTACACTATCAGATATTAAGCAAACAACAGAAATAGGCCTAAAAAATGCATATACATTACACACATTACTTCTTTTTTTTTCTTCTTCAGCGAACCAGCTGTATCCCACCGAAGCAGGGTGGCCCAAATGAAAAATGAAAGTTCCTCTTTTTAACTCTAGTAATATATACAGGAGAAGGGGTTACTAGCCTCTTGCTCCCGGCATTTTAGTCGCTTTCTACGACATGCATGGCATACGGAGGAAGAATTCTGTTCCACTTTCCCATGGAGACATTACTTACCTTGAAATATTTTCAGCTATAGCTTATAGCGAGTGGTGAATGTATTTATTGTAGGTAGTCTGAATAAATGAAGAATGGGTATAACTAATATCCGCTGTATTAGTGAAACACTGTAAAGCGGAGCCTGCCTGTATTAAACATAAAAGTACTTGAAAAATGTTTAATTTTAACTAAGTTGTGTTAGGTATTATGACTACAGTGATGCAAGGACACTGACCTCAGGGTCTTCACCAAGGCCAAGGTTAGTAGCAGCACGAACCATGGTGAGGGTGGCCGAGTTTGGGCCCTGTGACTGTTGCCTGGTTGGGTATGTAGCTTTCTGGCGAGGCTCTCTTCTGTTTACTTTGTGTGTGGCTGGGTGGTGAAGCTCTTGTCGACGGAACTGTGACCCTCCTTGAGATGACCTCATTCCTGATGACAAGAGGCTTGTTCATACATGATGTTTACTCTTGGCTAATAATCTAGTGGTGATTTAGTCATGTTCACTTTTACCTAGCACATGGTCACACTTAACTTGTGTTCATTCTTACTTAGCACATACTTAAACTCTAGAAACATAATTTACTGAATTAGTTAAGTTCTCAATAAGCTATAGAAAAATCATCAGAGTATATTCTTACAGTGCATCTGGGAGACATAAAATAATAGCATCCATCCTTATAGTCAGCCTGTAAAAAATAGTGGTACAATACGTACTTTGTACTTAGTGGTCTTTTTATTGATATTTGAAGTTATGGTCTTGCCTATCCTGTGATCTACTTTTTATTTTTTGAATGCACTGACCATTTCCTACCTAGGCCAGGTGACTAAAACAGATTAATTAGCACTGCTCATTCTCCAGTCATGTAATAAATCATCGAATAATGGTCTTACTTGGCTTATGGTCTGTATGTCAAAAGTTAATGAATCATATCTCCCCTGTCTTCTATGTCTGGAAGACCATATGTTCTGTGGTTTATTTTGGCAGAGTCTAGAGGATAACAATAGTATCTATCCTGTGTGTACATTATGGCTGGCAACTAGCCTTGAAACAAAGTCATACTTACCATGTGGCAAGTTGCTTTTCTAAGGAACTGGAGCTAACCTTCCCTTCCATGGATCAAACCTGATTACCTTCCATTACCTGTTCATTGTGTGGTCCAAAAAAATTTAGCGTTTTCTCATGAATATAGGTTACTGCAATAATTACCCTGTGGTCTGCGTCTGATAGCAGGCTGAAGCAACCAGTCAGGCCAGATGAATGCATCAGCGGCCAATGTTGTCACTGCCAACATCAACATTACCTGTTGGACATTATGTATGTTATTAAGCATCAGTTATTGCATATATGAATTTTTCTAATGCATGTTTTAGGGTTAAAACCCTCTCAATGGTACAATATTTTTTAGCTGAATTTATATTTTAGTGTTTTAATTTCTATGACAATATAGTATACAGAAGTTCAGTATTGCTTTGAAGAGAAAAATAATTTGAAAAAAAAAAAAAAAAGGGAACAATATGCCTAATATACGTATGCCAAACACTGACTCAGACATACACAAGGTCACTGGGAATGGTGGCTGATATATTCTACACCTAAAGTGGACAGACAGGATAATCTTTGCTGCTGCATGTGACTGACTTATGTGCTTGCCCTTCTCTTTGATGACCTTACCTTTGTTGCAGACCATAGTAGGACCTACCACGGATATCCGAAACTGCGGATAGTAGCGAACTCTATATAGTACATGTATATATAAGTAATTTTTCGTTTACGTACATACCTTTGATACAGTTTAATTGATAAATTACTCACAAAAAGTCGAGAATTAGCACTTTTTCCACTGATGAGAAGCACTTCATGACTACTCTCAGGCTTTGAAGAACTGTCACCATCACTACTTCAGTGTTATTGAGCAAAATTAAGGGTTATTTCAGGCCAGGGAAAACCGCAGACAACTGAAACCGTGAAAACCGGACCCTTGGATATGGTGGTCCTACTGTATTTTGATGTCTTGACTGACGCCAATTTACTTCAACCAGAACCACCATTATTCCTGACGATGTCCATCCTTCAACAAATCCACCTCTCGCCCCCTCTGCTGTGTAGAGCTAAATGACCCTTATAGGTTAAGCTCTTTCTATTATTATTTTTATTATTCTATTGCACATGGGGGTTTGCCAATTACATCAACAGACTTCAAAAATCTCAACTAGCAGTCAGGTTATATATTGCACACTTAATATGCGAGACTAGTACAGTAGAGGAGTATGCTAAAGAAGTACAGAACCCACATCTTAAGGACAAAGACATCTGTCAGGTCATCCCAACTGTCCAACATTTCTTCACTGATTGCTCCATTTATCAGAGTACACCAACTTCATTTCAGACATTCTTGAAAGCCCTGACAGGCTTACTTTATCCACTCCACACTCTCATGATCCTACCTTCAATGCAGACTCCCTCTACAATTTCTTAACTGACACCAGCTTACTATATTGAAACACCTTTCTGCCAAGGTGGCCCGCGGTCTGGTGGCAAAAGCTCTCATTTCACACGGTGAGGGTCTGGGTTCGATTCCTGGCGATGGAAGGTATTCAGACTCAATTCAGGGAATTGGAGCACTGATCCAATTCCCTAGATCAAGAGCCCCTCACCAGCATCAAGGAACCTTCCCTGAGGGGTGTGGATCAAGAGCCCTTCACCAGCATCAAGGAACCTTCCTGAAGGGTCATCTTGGGTTAAATCACTTCAGTTTGATACACAAAATTGTAGAAAGCTGCATTTAACTAGATACTAGAAACCATCAAAAGGTATCTTGATGTTGGTAAGGGGCTCTTCATCCAAGGAACTAGATTTATCCTTCCCTTCCATTACTGAACTTGAGTGCTTCCCATTTCCCAGGTGCTGTATCATTACCAGGGTTTAGTGTTTTCCCCAAAATAAAAATATACAAACAAGTCACTCGTGGTTTATGCGGTCATGTCTGTCTCACAACAGACACCCACCCAGGCTGGATCCTGGTTTCCTATTGTGTCCTGGTAGGCAACGCTCTCGCTTCACACACTAAGGTCCGGGAGCTCGATCCCTGGTATGGGCGGGAACATTGGGCGTGTTTCCTTAAGACACCTGCTGTCCATGTTCACTTATCAGTAATATAGGCACCTGGGTATTAGTGGACCGGTATGAACCACATCCTGGGGACAAAATTTACCTAATTTGCCAGAGGTGCTCTGCATAACAACCCCTCATGGAAGGTTCCTTGATGTTGGTGAGGGGCTCTTGATTTAGGGAATTGAATCTGTGCTCCAGTTCCCCGAATTAAGTCTGAATGCCTTCCACATCCCCCCCTGGGCGCTGTATAATCCTACGGGTTTAGCGCTTCCCCCTTGATTATAATAATAATAATAATCTGCATAACAAAGGGCTTTCTATATAGTAGTAGCATCATTGATGTCAGCTAGGCCTGTAAACGTTTTACTTTACAATGTTGTCACTGCCCAGTTTGTCCTACTGACTTCTCCCAGCTCAGGCTGACATTTCAACAATATGTAACCTATCCTGTGTGATGAATATACTGTAGTTCACTTTTGTTCCCACTGTAACTATCATATAGAAAAGGGTAGCAGCACACTGCTGGCTCTAATTTTGTTAAATAAAAATAGAAATAATGAAAACATTGACTGCCACTAGTGTCCTCACCTGGGTTACTACCCACAACAGTTAACTAACACCCAGGTGCCAGGTACCCATTTGCTACTACTTCTAGGTGAAGAGGGGCAGCAGGTGTTAGGAGACTTGTCCATACATCTCACCCAGCTCAGGAATCAAATCCAGGTCTTTTTTTGGTTGTGATAATATTATAATAATAACACGTATAATATTATTTACTACCAGTACATGTACAAGGTATACAGACCATAGCTGACAGCAATGACATACTACTATATAGAAAGCCGCTTGTTATTACCTGGAGTTTACCTGGAGAAGGTTTTGGGGGTCAATGCCCCTGTGACTCAGTCTGAAACCAGGCAGAGCATTTCGGGCAAATTAGGTCAGTTTTGTCCCAGGATGCGACCCACACCAGTCCACTAATACCCAGGTACCCATTTTACTGATGGGTGAACATAGACAACCGGCGTAAATAAATACGCCCAATGTTTCTACCCTCGCTAGGAATCGAACCCACTCGCCATGTGAAACGAGAGCTTTAGCCACCAAGCCATGGAATAGTTAATTACCCTCGCTGATTGTAATGTGTGGCGCTGGGTACTACTGGGCAACAGGTAGACACACCTTTGTAAATGTTAACGAGAGTGAGAGTGAGCATTAAATCCATAGGGGAACAAGGAATATCCACTAGGAATTTTTATTGACCTAAGAAAAGCTTTTGACACAGTAGACCACGGCATCCTACTCCACAAACTTGACCATTATGGTATAAGAGGCCATGCGCTTGCATATTTCAAATCTTACCTTACTAATAGGTATCAGTATGTCACCATTAAAGACACAGCATCAACAACACAGCCACTTGATACTGGAGTTCCGCAGGGAAGTGTCCTTGGTCCCCTGCTCTTCCTCATATACATCAATGATCTTCCAAACTTATCTCGACACCTGAACCCCATTCTCTTTGCTGACGACACGACTTATGTCATCTCTCACCCTAATCTTGCCACCCTCAACACCATTGTTTAAATGGGGAGCTGCAAAAAAATCGACTTTGGATGACAGCCAAAAAAACCTTCCCTTTAAACTTTGAAAAAACCTACTACATTATTTTTTGGGTAGCAGAGCGGGAGATCCCAAAAATTAAACTTTAAGATCGAAAAACACTCAAATTTTGCCGGGAAAAAATTTTGAGGGAAAATTCCTGGGGCCTATACCTCGAAAACCCAACCGAACTTCAGCCCCCAAATATCCAACAAAAAACCCAAAAAAAGTATCCAAAGGGTTTGGGGATCCCCCCAAAAGTTACGATACTAGTCCCGAAAAATTCCCTTCTCAAAATTACCTTTTAAATTATATATCCTTTACCTCCCCCTATGTTTATCTGTGTTTGGGGTTCAACGGGCCAGAAAACACCCCCTAAACCCAATAAAAACCCCAACAAAAAGCTGCAGAAAGGGAATAATCACTAAATCCAAAATCCCCTGGCAAAACCCCCCCCCCCCACTCTTATAGATCTAAACTTACTCCCCCGTTCATTAAAAATCCACACTTACTACTGTGAATCTACATCTACAGGGCCTTAAAATCCAATAATTTAAACCCTTTCCTTAAAAAGCTTTCCTTTATAGTTGTGACGAAACCCCCAGGCACCCAAAACCAAAACCCCAAAACCCCTCTTGGGCATTCCCCTTGCCACCCAAAAAACCCTTTAAAAAAAATTCAATTTATGCCCAAAAGGGCCCAAAAAACTGGAACACCCTACCCCGAAAATTCCCAAAAAAAACAGACACATTCATCACCTTCCAAAAATAGGGGGCCAAAAACCCCTGTAAACTCTTCAGGTCACTTGTTTTTATCCCCCGGGTTTGGGAAAAATTTCTGCACACTTTAAAAAGCACATTTTAAGGGAGGGGGAAATTGCCCACCTAGAAAATGAAAAGAAACTTTCCCCCGCGCAAAAAAGGGGGATAAAAACCTCAATAAAGGGACACTTGAGGTTCCAAAACCCTTTTTCCCCAGAACGCAGGAGGGGGGAGATACATGATTATATTCACCTGGGAAAAACCAGAGGGACTAGTACTGAACTTTCACCCCGAAAATTTAATCGCTACGAAAACAAAAAACCTGGCAGACGATGCACCATCCCCCCAATGAAAAGCAGGGGTGTCACTAGCACGTTAAGAGGACCATACAATAAGTGTCAGGGGCCCGAGACTGTTCAACTGCCTCCCAGCACACATAAGGGGGATTACCAACAGACCCCTGGCAGTCTTCAAGCTGGCACTGGACAAGCACCTAAAGTCAGTTCTTGATCAGCCGGGCTGTGGCTCGTACGTTGGTTTGCGTGCAGCCAGCAGTAACAGCCTGGTTGATCAGGCTCTGATCCACCAGGAGGCCTGGTCACAGACCGGGCCGCGGGGGCGTTGACCCCCGGAACTCTCTCCAGGTAAACTCCAGGTAAACTACCATCAGAAAACATCTTATCTCCCTGATACACCCCGTCAACTAACTACATTAATACCACCTGGTGGTTCACACTTACACTCACTCACCCATATGACCATAAACAGAAATATTAATCTCAATCTCAAAATAATGAATCTTAACTAGTCATAAGTTGGCCTGTGATACTCCAATACTGAAACTATGTACTGTGCCAAAACAAAATCATTCACATTGCTAAACTCACAACTAGTATTTAGTCACTTAGCCATAATACCAACTTACCTCATATTTTTGTAATATTTTAAACTTAAGATTTAATATAAGTCTGCCCGAAATGCCTAGCCATGCTAGGTGTTCTAGTGGTACACACTAATTATTATTTTACTACATGTAAACCACACAATAACCAAATTCTGTAAACTCAGCATTGTAATTCTTATAGAGAATAAACTTTGAATTTGAATACAGCACCAGGAAGCTTCCAGGTTCGATATAAATGGAGACCAATTTTAATACCTTGAATCTAGAGCCCTCCCCCCCCCCCACACCCATCAAATCCTTGAAGGGAGAGAGCCTCATTTGAAGCGGCTCATTACATTCCGCTGGTTTCTGATGTAATAAAAAATGCACAATTCTTATGGACGTGAATATCGTCAGGCGAATCAAAATTGGCTCCTAGTACCGCCTTTGGCTCACACCCGAAGGCACTGGTTTAATCCTGGGGCGGTGTGAAAACTCGTTGTGAATGCTTCCCAACTTAGGAGGGAAGGGCTAAACCGCAGGGGGTAAACATTTCCTGTGGGGGGGGGGTATGGGAAGCAATCAGCTATCATCCAAAGAGGAGAGAAACTAACTTCAGTTACTTGGATCAAGAGTATTCACCTTAATATTAAGACACCTCTCTAAGGTATAACAGGGAATATACAGGAATTCAATACAGCACCTAGTTGGTAAAAAGGAACCAACATTAACTCTGTACAGTACCTGGTTTGTAGGAGCAACTAACAGTACCTAGTTGGTAAGAAGAAACAAGAGTCAAAAGTTTTACAAGAGTAATAAACTTGCCAGAAATATTGAACATATGGGATATCAATAACACTACGACGTACTTACAATTTTCTGAAAGCAAAATTTTAAATTTATGTAAAACTAATGAGAATATTAGGGAGAGGACAGAGGAGACCCAGGAAGACCTGCATGGCATCAGGGCACTCACTCCTCTTGAAGAGGCAAGAAATCCTTGGTCACGCAAACTGGAGGTGAGGGAAAACCGGACACAGAGTACAGCATAGAGGGGAAGCTGCAAACATCAGTGAACGAGGATAATCTGAGGGTAAATGCATCAAGAACATCACAAGAGCTACATATAAATTACACAATTTCACCGGCATATGCAAGATTTGTAATCCTCTAACACAGCCGGGCTGTGGATCGTACGTTGGTTTGCGTGCAGCCAGCAGCAACAGCCTGGTTGATCAGGCTCTGATCCACCAGGAGGCCTGGTCACAGACCGGGCCGCGGGGGCGTTGACCCCCGGAACTCTCTCCAGGTAAACTCCAGGTAAACAGCATTCACGAACCTGAACAAAGAATTCATCATAACTTTAGAGACACCATATGCTTGGCCAATCATCGAGTAAGCTGAACCAGTGTATAGCCCCTACCTGGTCAAGCAAGCATAGACTCTCTAGGCTAATCCCAGTACTGAAAGAAACTTACAAATATGACTATACCACACCAACCACTATGCTAGTAGCCGGCTGGATAACTTTTATAATACCATATTGCTGGGGAAACATTGTTTACTGTGGTAAGATGAGATTTTGATCGTATTTTAAACCCCGGAGGGTTAGCTACACAGGATAACTTTAAAGTCGGTGCCTCAATAAGGACAGTCTTATTTCCTCTGGGGTCATTAAATCTTGTTCCCCAGGATGCGACCCACACCAGTCGATAAACCCAGGTTACCTACTTGTTGTTTAGGTAACGGGAATATCGGTTTATGGAAAACAGCCCAATGTTGCCACCAAGCCGGGGATAGACACGGCAAGTGTCTGAGGAAGAGTATTTAATAGTAGTTTAATATGTTTATCATGCACTCCGTACCCAACCTGAGGGCGGTTAATCAAAGATTACAGAGGTACCTAAATGGGCCAGGGAGTTCATGTACCTCAGTATTTACCTCAGTATTACAGGAAGTTACATAATGGGTCCAGGGACTGTACCTCAGTATTACAGAGGTACATAATGGGTCCAGGGACTGTACCTCAGTATTACAGAGGTACATAATGGGTCCAGGGACTGTACCTCAGTATTACAGAGGTACATTAATGGGTCCTGGGACTGTACCTCAGTATATACAGAGGTACATAATGGGTCCAGGGACTGTACCTCAGTATTACAGAGGTACATAATGGGTCCAAGGACTGGGCCGCAAAGTTTTGATAGTTGAACAAGTTACAATGGTAACGAACTATTTACATGTTTATATCTGGAATACTGATTACTGTGATAGAAGACGTTATTCAGATTAACTCCTGTGTTCACAAACCTGGATAACCCAAGAAAGTCGAGCAGTGTGGATCCAGAAGTATAAACTAACTCCCGGGTATCTAACACTGAGGCAATAAGTCTCACCCGCCCAGGATTCGACCCGAATCTTTCGGTTTTGAGCCGGACAAACTACCACTGAACTAGGAGGTGGGCAATCATAAAACTACGCAAAAATACACACGTGCGCAAGCACACACACATCATTTACAGAATAAGCACAATAGAGCTCACGTAACCAGGAGGAAACCCGGTAGCAGCTAGGGGCCAGGAGCTGAGACTACCACTGCAACCACAAATATTGCATATATATACACATATATATTACATATATATATACACAGTGCAGCTGTTAAACTATTATTTTGACAACAATGATGTTTTTAAACCCACAGAGGTTAATGTTGAAATCTTCAAGGTTTTTTTTATGGCAGTAAATACTTCCTGCCACTCCAAGCTACATTCTTTGTAACCTTTCTCTCCGTAGCGACCACTTGGATAATCACATTCTTTCGGTATTGCCCAAAACGGTACACAATAACTGCAGCATTTACCAATTATCATCCATTACATAATTATGTTTATTTCCTTACAGGGAAAATGAAGATAAACGCCCATTGACAACTGCACTTGTATGTACTAATTTTGCATCATAACTTTGTTTTTGAGTATGTAAGAACAATGGTACACTTATGTACGACGTTTAGTGAACGAGTACAATAGCCAAGAAACAATGGGACCCAACAGAGAAGAACTACCTTGAGTAATCTCAATACTTTCACCTTACATGACTGTACCAGGAGACGACGACTATGATCAGTCATCATATACATAACCATAAAGAAACAAGCTGATGAGTAAATACAAGACGAAGAATTAGAAAAGGAAATAAGTGAGGAGCCGCAGCAGCTATTGTGATTATATAACCTCGGAGGATTAATACCCAGGAAAACCCCCAAGAAAGGTCAGCATGCATAAGGGGGATTACCAATAGACCCCTGGCTGTCTTTAAGCAGGCACTGGACGGGCACCTAAAGTCAGTACCTGACCAGCCGGGCTGTGGTTCGTACGTTAGATTACATGTAGCCAGCAGTAACAGCCTGGTTGATCAGGCCCTGATCCACCATGAGGCCTGCTCACAGACCGGGCGGCGGGGGCGTTGACCCCCGGAACACTCTCCAGGTAATGTGTCTTAATTCTAGGCGCTGATTTGCCGTGGCTGTTGTTTACCAGGGAAGGAGAGTTCCGGGGGTCAACGCCCCCCGCGGCCCGCCCGGTTCCTGTGACAGGACCTCTGGTGGATCAGAGCCTGATCAACCAGGCTGTTGTGCTGGCTCACTCGCAAAAAAACAACGTAAGAGGCCACAGCCGGGTTGATCAGGAACTGACTTTAGGTTTGCTTGTCCAGTGCCAGCTTGAAGGACTGCAGGGGTCTGTTTGGTAATCCCACCTTTGTGGTGCTGGGAGGCGGTTGAACAGTCTCGGGTCCCCTGCACTTATTGTATGGTCTCTTAACGTGCTCTGTGTCACCCTGCTTTTCAATTGGGGGGATGGTGCATGTTCTGCCAAGTCTTTTGTATTCGTAGTGAGTATTTTCTGTTGTGCAAGTTGGTACTAGTTCCCTCTAGTAGGAATTTTCCAGGTGTATATAATCATGTTATCTCGCCCTCTGCGTGCCAGGGAATACAGGTTTAGGAACTTTCAAGCATTCCCAGTAATTGAGGTGTTTTATTCCGTATTGCACGCCGGAAAGTTCTCTGTATATTTTCTAGGGTCGGCAATTTCACCTGCCTTGAAAGGTGCACTGCGTTAGTGTGCAGCAATTATTCCAGCCTGATAGAAAAAGTGACCTGAAGAGTGTCATCATGGGCTTGGCCTCCCTAGTTTTGAAGGTTTCATTATCCATCCTGTCATTTTTCTAGCAGATGTGATTGATACAATGTTATGGTCCTTGAAGGTGAGATCCTCCGACATGATCACTCCAGGTCTTTGACGTTGGTGTTTCGCTCTATTTTGTGGCCAGAATTTGTTTTGTACTCTGATGAAGTTTTTAATTTCCTCATGTTTACCATATTGAGTAATTGAAATTTCTCATCGTTGAACTTCATATTGTTTTCTGCAGCCCACTGAAAGATTTGGTTGATGTCCGCCTGGAGCCTTGCAGTGTCTGCAATGGAAGACACTGTCATGCAGATTCGGGTGTCATCTGCAAAGGAAGACACGGTGCTGTGGCTGACATCCTTGTCTATGTCGGATATGAGGAGGAGGAACAAGATGGGAGCGAGTACTGTGCCTTGTGGAACAGAGCTTTTCACCGTAGCTGCCTCGGACTTTACTCTGTTGACGACTACTCTCTGTGTTTTGTTAGTGAGGAAATTATAGATCCATCGACCGACTTTTCCTGTTATTCCTTTAGCACGCATTTTGTGCGCTATTACGCCATGGTCACACTTGTCGAAGGCTTTTGCAAAGTCTGTATATATTACATCTGCATTCTTTTTGTCTTCTAGTGCATTTAGGACCTTGTCGTAGTGATCCAATAGTTGAGACAGACAGGAGCGACCTGTTCTAAACCCCTGTTGCCCTGGGTTGTGTAACTGATGGGTTTCTAGATGGGTGGTGATCTTGCTTCTTAGGACCCTTTCAAAGATTTTTATGATATGGGATGTTTAGTGCTATTGGTCTGTAGTTCTTTGCTGTTGCTTTACTGCCCCCTTTGTGGAGTGGGGCTATGTCTGTTGTTTTTAGTAACTGTGGGACGACCCCCGTGTCCATGCTCCCTCTCCACAGGATGGAAAAGGCTCGTGATAGGGGCTTCTTGCAGTTCTTGATGAACACAGAGTTCCATGAGTCTGGCCCTGGGGCAGAGTGCATGGGCATGTCATTTATCGCCTGTTCGAAGTCATTTGGCGTCAGGATAACATCGGATAGGCTTGTGTTAATCAAATTTTGTGGCTCTTCATAAAAAATTCATTTTGATCTTCGACTCTCAGTCTGGTTAGCGGCTTGCTAAAAACTGAGTCATATTGGGACTTGAGTAGCTCACTCATTTCCTTGCTGTCATCTGTGTAGGACCCATCTTGTTTAAGTAGGGGCCTAATACTGGACGTTGTTCTTAATTTTGATTTGGCATAGGAGAAGAAATACTTTGGGTTTCTTTCGATTTCATTTATGGCTTTTAGTTCTTCCCGGATTCCTGACTCCTAAACGATTCTTTTAGCTTAAGTTCGATGCTTGCTATTTTCTCTGACCAGTGTCTCCCTACGCATTTCAGATATATTGACCTCTTTTAGCCGCTCTGTTATTCTTTTCCGTCGCCTGTAAAGGGAGCGCCTGTCTCTTTCTATTTTACATCTACTCCTCCTTTTTCTTAGAGGAATAAGCCTTGTGCATACATCGAGTGCCACCGAGTTAATCTGTTCTAGGCATAAGTTGGGGTCTGTGTTGCTTAGTATATATTCCCAGCTTACATCGGTTAGGACTTGGTTTACTTGGTCCCACTTTATGTTTTTGTTATTGAAGTTGAATTTGGTGAATGCTCCCTCGTGACTAGTCTCATTATGTCGGTCTGGGGCTCCACGCATACATGTTTGAACCTCAATTATGTTGTGATCCGAGTATATTGTTTTTGATATGGTGACATTTCTTATCAGATCATCATTGTTAGTGAAGATGAGGTCTAGTGTATTCTCCAGTCTAGTAGGCTCTATTATTTGCTGGTTTAAATTGAATTTTGTGCCGAGATTTAAAAGCTCGTGTGAGTGTGAGTTTTCATCAGAGCTGCCTCCTGGTGTTATTACTGCAACAATATTATTTGCTATATTCCTCCATTTTAGGTGCCTTAAGTTGAAATCCCCCAGGAGCAAGATGTTGGGTGCAGGAGCTGGAAGATTTTCCAGACAGTGGTCAATTTTTAACAGCTGTTCCTGGAATTGCTGGGATGTTGCATCCGGAGGCTTGTAGACTACCACAATGACTAGGTTTTGGTTCTCGACCTTTACTGCTAAAACTTCCACTACATCATTTGAGG